ATACAAGATAGTATAATGTCCTTAGGGCTGGATTTTTAAAGGTATTTAGACAACTAGTAGGATTTTCAAAAGCATCTAGGTGCTTTCACCCTTTAAAAATCTGGCCTGTGGTGAATATTTGGGAACCAAGTTCCACACACAAGTGGTGATATGGAAAAGCACTAGGGTGCTGGATAAAGATGCAAAATAACTGTTGATAAAGGCAATCCGCATTGGCGGCTCAAAGGCATCTGAAAAAGGGAAATCAGTCAGCCTTGATGTCATATGATCCCAAAGAATAAACTTGTGTATAAAAAATGAAAAAAGAACAAAAATTTAGAAGTAAAAATGTTGCCATACCAACCGGAAGTGCTCTACTAGAAACTGTGAGAGATGTCATTGCTGAAGCTACTAGTAACTATTACTATTTTCAATGATTATTTGCTATTAAAATATCACTTAGCTAGCACAAGGACGTCCATCTGCACAATGTTAACAAAGGTAAATGATGAAGTGCTAGGAGTAATTAAAATAGCATTTTAAAAAGGAAATCATTGTAAATGGTGTGTCATTCCTTTAAATTGAGTACAAGAAAAAGGCAGTCCAATTCAGGCAAAGCGAACAGCAGAAAAGAGGTTTCAGAGTAGCAGCCGTGTTAGTCTGTATCCGCAAAAAGAACAGGAGTACTTGTGGCACCTTAGAGACTAACAAATTTATTTGAGCATAAGCCTTTGGATGCCCACGAAAGCTTATGCTCAAATAAATTTGTTAGTCTCTAAGGTGCCACAAGCAGAAAAGACAAATTTGTGAACTGCTATGAGGCTTTATACAGACATAGAGACTGAGTTGGATTATTTTAAACACTAAAAACCTGTCTGACAATTACCATTATTGGAAGCGGGTGTACGTAAAATATTTCACTGACTCAAGGCTCCTTCGGCAGCTCAATACATTATTTTAGACAGAGAAGAGCTGCCTTGTCTAGGCATTGGGATGCATGGTGCTTTTAAGAACACAGCCCTGGGAAGCAGGTGCTGAGCTGTACCATCCTCTGCCCCCCCAACACCCTATTTTTGCAACCACTGCAGATGGCTCATTCCATCTGGGGTAACTTTCATCTCCTCTGCCCCTTCTTATGTCAGGTTTGTCCCGTCTGCCACTGTCTAGTAGCATCTCAAGCTAGTTCTTAACCCCAGCGCCTATCTTCTGCCCCTGATTTTTCCCCTCCACCCCTCTCTTTCCCCTGCCTCCAACGTTCCTGTGCATTCAGTCCCTCCTCCCCACCAACTCAGCCCATCCTTCCCCTCCAATTTGCCCCCCTTTTATCCTATTGAGCAGCAGGGAGCAGATTGCCCTCCCTTGTGATGACAGTGGCTTCAGCAGATGTTACTGAGCAGCTCCACTTCGTATCAGCATGCGGTGTATCAGCAAAGCCACAAATTCTGATGGGCAGCAGTTTGTAATGTTACACCTGCCCAGCCAGGGAGCAGGCTGTGGGGCCTGCCCATACCAAGGTCCCAGTGTGCACACCGCCAGCTCTGCTCTGGTGACCCCAGGGCAGGAGCAGCAAGCCCAGCCTGTGCAGCATCACGATGTCAGGCCGCTTTTGGATTGTGGCACCAGGCCCCCAGTGGGAGGGGGCAGCTAACCCTCCCCTTACCTAAATCCTGCCCAGGCACACTCCTTGCTGAGCTCAGTAAATGCGCACAGCCTGGGTTCTGTACAGCAGTCTCTTTATTAGGGGAAAGGACACAGCTTCATAAAATGCAGATGGTTCTTACAGAGGAAGCAGGGGGCATAACATGCTGAGCTAGGCGCCTTCCATCCCCCACATCCAAAAGCAGGTGGCACAAGTGCCCAGGCAGCAGGGATGCCTACCAGGCATGACCATGCCCAAGCTTCTGTCTCCCCGTTCCTGCTTGTTTCCCTACCCCTCCCAGCTTCGGTTGAGGCAGCAGGGCGGAGAGACACAGAGACCGAGCCCCCATCCTGTAATCATAGGGCACTGGGCAGGCACTGTACGGTGAAAGCCTTAATTTCTTTATGGGAAGTAGCAGCATATGTCTTGGCTCATTAGTGAGGGAGCACACCTGTGCCCCTGCTGGGCTGAGTTATAGGAGAAATACCCTACTGCAATACAGCAGGGATGTTTGGTTTTGTTGTTCAGGCTTGTCACCAACAGATGGTTTGCTCTCTGTACACTACTGTATTACAGATCAGAGCCTTTGGCATGACACATCTGCCTCTGGGATTATGAAGCCATTACAGGCATGTGAGCAGAAGGTTAGCACATATACACAAATCGCTGGCTCCAGTCCTGCCAGTATGAAGGGAAGAGGGTTATGAGGAGAAAGCAGCAGGATTTTGACAGGTTCAACTTTCACGCAGTTCTAGCCCCTGTTCAAAAATTAGAGACTAGAAACCTGGAGGAACCTATGGGGCTGAGGCTGCAGCCCGTCCCGGCTAAGTGGTCTGAGAAACCCCCTCTTGAGCTAGGGCTGGAGAAGGAATTGTTCGACCTAGGAGTGCGCTAGAATGACCCTAGTGCAGCTTGAGTGCAAAGCATACAGTTACAGCAGGGATGCCTTTGGCCTCAGGTGTTTGACTGTGGGCTACCCAAAGATAACTTGCAGTACGCTGGTGGGTATCTATCCCCTAAAACCAACTTGGAGCCCTGCTTCAATTCCGTGCTGACATTTCATGCCTTGTTGTCTTAGTGGAGAGCACTAGAGCGTTGTGGGGAGAGGAGGATGGCTGCATATTGTGAAGTGACACCTGCCTTGAGCCAGGAAGACCACACAGAACTGAAGGAGACAGAGGGAGCAGTCTGCAGTGGCAGGGACATGCTAAGAGATGCTCTAGCATATGGCAGGAACAGCTGTGGGTGCTGGGTGGGTGACAGTGTTTCAAGGAACAGAAGCATCCAGTTCCCCTTCTTCCTACATCTTTGGAGACAAGGCCCAGCCTTCAACCAAACTGTGGAGAGGCAACAATCACAGCATAGGCTTGGGCATGGCCCGGGCCACGAGATCAGAACTGTTCCTTAGCAGCCTCAGCCACAGCATCCCACCATGGCTTAGAGACAACTTAGGGGCCAGGTCAAGGTTACTGTCGGGGGCAGGGGATGGGGAGTCTCTGCAACACTAGACTTTTATGAAGGAGCATAGGATTATCCAAGTGCATCATTCTCTTCTATTCGCTGATGCGGACTGCCTCCGAGGCAGTGAAAAAATCCCATTCAGGCACCTACCGCTGCAATACTCTGGTTTGACACTAAGACAACCGAGGCTAGCAAGAGGGAGATTGAATCAATATTAACACTGCTGCAGCATAATCTACGCTGAACCGTACTTAGCCTGACTGTAAACCACCTTGAGCTCTTGTGTATGTGGATGCAGGGTGCATTCAAATTGGATGAACAGCAAGTGATACTGCTTCCCCTCCTCCCCCACATGTATTTCTTTAGTGTGGACACTAGCTGGGGGTGGGGAATTTACAACTACTGAACAGCTCAGGGCCTGTAGCTGCAGGAAGGAACACAGATGGTTTGAGCCCAGCTCATTTACCTGCAGTTGCTATTTTTATTAATAGTTGTTTAGCTAGTTATCATACAAATATCCTGAGGCAGTGAGTTCCACAGGTTCTGTTGTACTGAAAGCTTACTGCCACATTACCCTTTGGTGCAGTCCAGGAACAAAGAGGAGTGCCTTGTGCTTTCCCTCTATCCCCCAGGCTTCCTGGCTCTGCTTACTCTTCTCCATACTACATTGGCTGAAATTGTTTCCTCTGTTCTTGCCCCCTTCCCTGGTCCTTCTCATCTTCCAGAGGCTGTCACTGAACTGGAGGTGTCCTGCCCTGCATGCAGTGTTGAGGATGTGCCATTAGTTCAGGCAATACCCTCATCTTCCCTCCCCCCTTCTCCACACAGCTCCCCATCTGACAGTGCTTTGAGGCAGCGGCTCCATATACCACCCCCTCGCCCCCCCAAGATGCTGAGCAAGGCCCAGTGGGGGTGCTTTCAAATGTTGGCAGCAGAGCTTCCCCAGCGTTCATTCTCCAAAGGCAGTCAGCCCTTGCCCTGCACTGGGCAGCGTTGCCCTGCAGCACAGCCGTTTCCCGCAGGAAGGAGATTAGAATTAGATAAAACAGTTGAGCCAGAAGCACCGAACTTGAGACAACCTGGCCCCCCCACCACTCAGAGGTGCTGAGCACACAAATCTCCATGTGCAGTCAGGAGACACTGGGGGGGAGCAGCAGCTCTGAGAATTAAGCCCAGGGTGGCTCATGAACCCAACACTGAAACATCCAAAATCAGTGGCCACTTTAAAGTATAGCTTCCCAGCCTTCCTCTTCCCCCGTTGTGCTGAATTTACCTGACGTACAAAAAAAAATAATAAAAAAAAAATACAAAAAAGGACAACTGCAATGTGACAGAAGAGACTGCAACAGGGCAGAGCACACCCACTAAGTCAGAAGCTCTAAGGGTCAGAGATCTACCAAACAGTGCACAAGAAAGCACCATGGCGACAAGATCTCCTTCTAGGGCCTGTGGGCTTGGCCGCTGCAGAGGGAGGAGACTAGGCTAGCTCCACACAATCTCTGCTCTGGTTGGGGATAGTGGACTAACTACACCAATGGCCTGATCCAGTAAAATCGCATGTCAATAGCACCACTTCCATGTAATGCCTCTAATGAAAGCTGACCCCACCCCTCGTGGAGGCTAGATCATACTGACCCACATTTGACAGAGGGAGGAAACTGAGCAGCAGGAGGTAAAGCACAATCTAGTCACAGACCACCTGTGGTGCAATCAAGAATAGAAGCCAGGTGCTCTGACTCTGAGTTACCTGCACTCTCCCCTAGCTCACGCTCCCCCATGTTTCTGTTAGTTACCAAGAGCAAAATACATCAATGGGGATCGCTAACGTCCCAGTCCTAGTGGGGTGCTCCTCCCCAGAGCTGGGCATTCCAGCTGCATGGGAGCCTTACTCTTGAAAGATTCCCCCCCATTCCCAAATATCCCTCCCCTCTCCCCAACACCCAATCTTGTCTGCTTGCCAAACGTCCCCACCATTAGAAGGTGGGTGCTTTCCCCATGCCCCCATCCCCCTGCTGGAGATCCATGCTTGCCAGAATCCTCTTCCACTCTCCCTGGGGAAAAGGGGCTTGCGGCTCTTCAGTGTGTCCCAGGGCCCGAGTCTGTTCGCTGCAGGTGAGGCCTGGCTGCCCCAGTTAGGTTTGCTTCATCTCCCACTCCTGCAATGCAAGGAAAAGGAGGGGGAAAAGAAAAAAGTTTCAGGGCATGTTGGCATGAAGAAAGAATCAGGCCCAACAGGTGCAGCTACTGAGCCCCATGCTGTAGACCCTCAGGAGCCAGCAGGGGTACGTCTATCCTGCAGTTGAACGCCTGCAGCCAGCCCACGGCAGCTGACTCAGGCTCGTGGGACTGGGGCTGTACAGGGCTGTGTATATGTTCGGACTCCAGCCGGAGTCCGGGCTCTGGGACCCCGTGAGGGGAGAAGGGCTGGAGCCTGGGCTCCAGCCCGAGCCCAGATATCTACGTGGCAGTTTTATAGCCCTGCAGCCTGAGCCCCACGAGCCCAATTCAGCGGACATGGGCCAGCCACAGGCATTCAATTGCAGCACAGATGTACTCTGGTGGGCCAGGGTTTAGCTCTGAGTAGCTTCTTTAGCTTGTGCAATACTGTGTGGAAATTAGAGATGGGGAAAGCCTGATGAGGCCTGATCTAGCTCCGCCATTCAGGGACCAAGCCAGGCCAACTCCCTACGTTACTGCCTGCTACAGGGCTTTGGTCACTCTAGCTTCCACGGTCTTCAGTGACTGAGCCACCACCATTGCCCTGGAAGTCAGGTCATGAGTTGCCACTTCCATGATCTCCCCCAGCCAACCTGATGACTCCTAAGTCCCAAGGCTTCCCACCCCCTCAGCAGCCAGAGGGCAGTCACTGGCAGGGGGCTCTGCAGAACCTGGCAGAGCTGCTGATGCATTAGAGTGGTGTTGGGGGCAGGCAGGAATGGAAGGGGGAGGGGTGACCAGCTGATTCCCCAGCCTCAGGGTCTAGGGATGGTGCAGTGTCCAAACACCTGCTGGCAAGGCTGAGGAAGATGCTGCCAGGCTGGGCGGTCAGAGCTGTACCTTAGCCTTCTGCAGCACTTTCCCCTTGTTGGCAGGGAGGATGGAGGGGCTCCTCTTCCTCATTTCCGCTGCACAGTTCACCGGGACCAAGTGCTCCGTGGGGTTCCCATTTGGCTTATTTCCAGTCTCCTGGGGGTGGGGGGAGAATAATCCTTTAGAGACCCAGAAAGCAGTGACAGCAGGAGACAGGGAGACAGCCAGAGAACCCAGATTAAAGCACACTCCACAGCTTCCGAATGTGGCAAGAAGCATTTACCGTCCACTAATGGACTGCTGGGACCAGCTGAACACTGAGGGGCACTGGCAGAGCTGGTGGGAGCCCAGGACTGGAATAGCAGAGGGGTCACTGCACAGCTGGGGAAAATCCTAGGACTGGAATGGCCAAATAGCAAGACAGCCGGGGGCTGCAGGGCAGGGCTGCCTCGGGTGGGATGGGGTAAGCCTAGCAGAGGGGAGGCTGTGGGTCTCAAGGCTGAGGTGCATTGGCCCTTCACTTGTATCCCTACATCTCCCACCTGAAGCAGGCACAAGCCAACAGAAAAAACAGAGTCCCACCCCTCTGTATTAGTAGGAGCATTGCCAGCAGATCGAGGGAAGGGATTATTCCCCTCTATTTGGCACTGGTGAGGCCATATCTGGAGTATTGCATCCAGTTTTAGGCCCTGCACTACAGAAAGGATGTGGACAATTCAGAGAGCCCAGCAGAGGACAACAAAAATGATTAGGGGGCTGGGGCACATGACTTATGAGGAGAGGCTGAGGGAACTGGGCTTTAGTCTGCAGAAGAGAAGAGTGAGGGGGGATTTGATAGCAGCCTTCAACTACCTGAAGGGGGGTTCCAAAGAGGATGGAGCTCGGCTGTTCTCAGTAGTGGCAGATGACAGAACAAGGAGCAATGGTCTCAAGTTGCAGTGGGTGGAGGTCTAGGTTGGATATTGGGAAAAAACTATTTCACTAGGAGGGTGGTGAAGCACTGGAATGGGTTACCTAGGGAGGTGGTGGAATCTCCACCCTTAAAAACTTCTAAGGGCCGGCTTGACAAAGCCCTGACTGGGATGATTTAGTTGGGGTTGCTCTTGCTTTGAGCAGGGGGTTGGACTAGATGACCTCCTGAAGTCTCTTCCAACCTTAATCTTCTATGATTCTGCAGGGGAACAGGAACCCGCTGGAAGACCAGGGCTGTGGAAAGGAAGGTGGTGACTCCGTACCCCATTTTCAGCTTTGCTGGTCACGGTGAGCCCCAGAGCTGGCCCTCCTGCTAGCGACTGTTTCAGCCGGTCCTTCACCTCCGTCAGCTTGAGCTCTAGGTCCACGCGCTGCTCCTCCTTCCCTTTGCACTGCTCCTCCAGGGCCACCACCTGCTCCTCCAGCTCTTTCAGCTGCCTCCCTGATTGAAGGAGACAAGGAACAAGACCAATCAGGTCCCGTCGACTCAGCACAGAGCCATGGAGAGATGGGATGGGGTTTGTAGAATGAAGGAGGCTCCCAAGCCCAAATTTACCACCCCCTCCAGTGAGTGTGGTTTTCAGGGGGCAGCAGTGATGTGCCAGCACCTAGGAGATCTCAGATCAGCCTGTTTCTAGTGTCTGATATCCATTAACCACGCCCTGCTGCAGCCTCTCTCCTTTGCTAGGATTTATTAGTACAGTAGAACCTCAGAGTTACGAACACCAGAGTTACAAACTGATCCGTCAATCACACAATCAGGCAGCAGCAGAGACAAAACCCCCAAGTACAGTACAGTGTTAAATGTAAACTGCTAAAAAAATAAAATAAAGGGAAAGCAGCATTTTTCTTCTGCATAGTGAAATTTCAAAGCTGTCTTAAGTCAATGTTCAGTTGTAAACTTTTGAAAGAACCCTAACGTTTTGTTCAGAGTGACGAACATTTCAGAATTACGAGCAACCTCCATTCCCCAGGTGTTTGTAACTGAGGTGCTCCTGTGTAGTACTAGTACGTTCTCTGCTCTGGCTTTTCAACCTGAGAAGCTGAAAAGGAAACAATAGAAGGACCTGCCTTTTTTACTGGAGGGACACACACCTATTTGGCCACTAGGTGATGCTGTTGGGCACAGTTTGAGGTGGCCGCAGCAGCAGGTGCACCAGATCCCCGCTGACTCAGCACTACAGCTGGGACCCAATGTTCTGCCCAGCAGAGTGGAAAACACGGCCCTGGCCCTGAGAGGGGGTGCCAGGAACAAGGAATACAAAGAACAAAGGAGCACAGCAGCTCCAGCAGAGGGCATTCCGCTGCGTCCATGCAGGGGCTGGGCCAGCACGGAGTCAGCAGCACCAGGGCTGGGACAGAAGATGGTACAGTCATGTGCAACCCCCATGGGGGAGCAGGGGAGGGTGGGAGTAGGAGTTTGCTGCTGAATAATAGTTGACGCCTACACTCCTGGCTAGCAAAGGCGGGAGGTGGGCCTGTCTGCACAGTCGGGGGAGAGAAGGGGCTTTCTCGGGTTCAGGGTGTGGCCAAGGAGATGGCAGGACTGTCATGCTCATGAGAAATCTGGAGAACTGGACCAGCAGGGAGCCTTACCAGTGCATGGCCAGAGCTGGGACCAGAACAGGTCAGCAGCAGCAGGTCAGGCTAGGAGGCATTGGCAGAGCTGGATGGAGGAAACTTGCACCGTTTTGCTGGGTTTTATTCACCCTGGCTCATTCCTGCTTTGCTGGGCATTAAAAATCCACCAGCCTCATTGCTGAGATGTCCGCTGGTCTGGTGACTGTTGCCATGATCCCATATTGGGGGGCTGGGGTCAGATCTGTCAGGGGGTATTTCCTCTCCTGCCTGGGCTGCAGCAGGCTCCATACCTGTGCTGCTTTTCATGGCCTCCCGGAGCTCCCTCTTTTCCTTCCGCAGGGTCACCAACTCATTCCGGATAGAAGCTCTCTCCTTCTCCAGCTTCTCTTTCTCCGTCAGGAACATCCTGGCGTCCTCCTCGGCCCGGTTCTTCCCATACTTGTACTGGGTGGCATCTACAGAGCAAGGGCACAGCTGGTCAGGCAGGGAGTTGGCACACTAGCCCCTGCCTCTATAGAGGAGAGCAAAATGCAGGCTCAGCGAGACGAGTTCAGGACTCGCAGCTTGATGTCTGTTTCCATGATGGGAGTGTGTCAGATGAGCCGGGTCAGCTCCCGAGGCTGGACTAGGCTGTGACGGGGAGAAGGGGGTGCCTGTGGGAACAGCGGCATCACACCAGTCTCCCCAGGAAGACGCACTGAAGCCCATGCAGGCTCAGGGTGAACCTGGCACCTCCTTCCCCATTGCCTGCAGAGGGGTCGCTTTTCGTTAGTGAATTCAGGGCAGGTGAAAGGTGCCAGAGGAACAGCGGAGTCCCCACTCTGTCCTTAGCAGGGGCAGTTCATGCTTCCCACTCATCACAGCAGGCCAACATACCAGAGCCCCGGCTGGGAAGGAGAAGCTGCAGGTCCCTCAGATCAGCCTGCCAGTTACTCCAGTTCCTAAAGGACACGTTGCCACCTGCGACCATCACTAGCCCACACGGGACTAAGACCCCACCAACTCATCTCATGGAACAGCCAGCAGCTGGGAACGGCTCCTGCCATTAGTGACCTGGGGCTCGATAGGAAGAGGTGACCAGAGATGGGAGACCCCAATCCCTGAGCCAACTGGTCCCCTCCCATGTGGCTGAGGTTTTATCCCATAGCACACCTGCTGGTGGGCGAATCTGAACCTACTTGATGCATGTCTTTTGACTTTGACTTGCGGGTCCACGCGGCGTGACGACTCACTGCAGGACGAGGCATGCCGCTTCACCTGGGCCCCCGACGGCCGCGGTGGCTCCTCTGCCTGCATGGATGGACGCAATGAAAACAGATCCCAGCAGAGACGCTGTGTGGCATCAGTACTAGGCAGGAGCAGAAATCTGCACTCAGGGTGGGGTGGCTGCTGAGAAACCGTGGGCCCCAAGTGCCACTGAGGGGGAAGGGGGCGCTTGTCTCCCCAGCATTCAGTTACTTGGAGGTCGCAAGAGGTTGGGTGGGAGAAGGACCATGGCCTCTCCGGGGAGAGCGTGATAGGAAGCAAGCCACATTCGTACCTGCACCTTCTCGTAGGGGACGTCATCATACACCACCCGGGAGGAGTCAGCCTGGCTCTCATGGGAGGCGCTGGCCCACCTGGGGAGGTAGAGAGTGTCAGCCCCTTCCCGCATAGCAGCAACACGCCATCTTTCTCTAGCTCCTTCCACCCAAAGATCTCAAAGCACTTTGCAAACTTGCACGAGTTAGCCCTGCCTCCCCTCCCCCATGCAGTCCCCAAACCACTACGAGCCGAGCCCTGCTTCAGGGAAATGAAGCCAGTCGGGCACTGCCCCCCCAGCCACCAGATCTCATGTGCTGATAAAAGCCTCCCCATCTTCAATTTGTGTGTTCCACACCTCCCCGCCCCCAGCTTGCCCTTTGTACACCCCCACTCCCCCCCACGCCTCCTCCCAGAGGCAGGTGCCCCACACTTTTGGAAATGTGGTAATAGGTATTATCCCATTCCAGGAGCAAACGAGGCACAGAGATGCAGTGACTTGACCAAGTCCACTCAGCATAGCCAGAGCTACCAGGTCCCAGTCCTGAGCTCCAGTCCCTAGACAGCTTTTAGAAGGTGCACACAGCTCAGGGCCCCACAAATCATAACCCCCTGCTGCTTTTCCCACCACATGTCCCTACCCCACAACACTGCTCATGGGGCAGGTGGTTTATTCTGGCTCTGAGGCCGCATGCAATGACTTGGGGCTGTGTTGCCACCTGGGTTTGGAGACACAAGATGCATCCACGGTGGAAGTGCTGCTGGCTGGGATGGCCTCACAGGGAGTTTTGCTCTCCCAGGCTCAGCTGGGGGGGGGGGGCCCAAGGTGAGCCTCATGCCGGAGCTGGAACGAATACACACACACACACACACACACACACACACACACACTCAACGAAAGCTTTGGAACGATGGGAGGAGAGCCCCTTACAGATAGGAGTGTCTCACAGCGGTGACTATGTTGGCTATTGTCTCTACATCCACGTAGTCATAGTGCAAGGCCTCCGGGGTTTTCTGGGAGCCAGTCTCAACCAGCAGGAGGCCGAGCCAGCGGCCCAGATCTTCAGAGCAGTTTGCCTAAGGGGTGAGAAAGCCATCATCATGAGCACCTGGCCCCTGGATATGCATCTCCCCTTCACATCTCTCCAGGTAGATGACCCATATCCTGCAGAGCATGGGCAGGGAGTTACACCAGTATTTCCCCTCGCCCGCCAAAACCACCTTGCTTTGGGTCTCCCCAGCCCAGCCCAACCCACCCATGCCACACAAGAAAGCACAGGTTTCAGAGTAGCAGCCGTGTTAGTCTGTATCCGCAAAAAGAACAGGAGTACTTGTGGCACCTTAGTCTCACTTTGTTAGTCTCTAAGAAAGCACAGGCGTCTGCTCATATGCAACACATGCAGAGATGCAGTACATCTTCAACTCTGCGTGGGGTTGGGTAGGGATGGGCTTCCCAGGGGAACTGGGAAGAAGTTACCCTTCCTAGAGAAGGAGCTTGCTCTCACCACATGGCACTGAGCTGGATTCCATCAGCCCAAGCACCTGCCAAGCTCTGCTCCTGTGCAGGGGAGCCGTTGGGTTGACGCTAAGAGTCAAATGAGTTCTTTCACCTGCCGTGATTTGCCTGGTTCAACGAATCCAGCAGCTTCTCTGTGCTGATACTATCAATATCTGCGCTGCTGCTATACAGTCATTCAGACCCAAGTGAAATTACTTCGTATATTTCATTCACTTGTCTGAAGCACCTTAACAGGGTGCTCCATGCATGCCTGCTTTAATCAATCATGGAATAAAAACTTCACATAGCCTAAGGGATCCTGCCAAGATAAAGATTAGATTTAAAAAAAACCCAAATCCCTTGCCTGTGTAACAAGGTGCACCACAGATTATTAATGAAAATTTCAGAGGCTGCTCAGCGTGGTTTATGTGATCGCCTGCATTTGGCTGGGCTCGGCAGCAAAACAGGACTTTGCTTTTTGGTTCTAGACAATTTCACTTGCCTGGGCCATGCACCAGCCCACCTGGCTGCATTTGGGGTCTCAAAGCACAGCCGGGGAAGGGGTAAGTTAAACTGTCCCTGGAGGTTTCCATTTAGAATCTATTCTGTCTCTGTTCAGTTCTGGGTTTGGTTAAACCCTTAAGGAAACAGACCAGGATTTGGACCCAAACTGCCCATCCACATCTTCCAGAGTGAGGCAGGAAAAGCCTCTACAGCCCACATGCGTCACTCAGAGCCGCTGAGAATGAAACACTCACCTCCAAGGCAGAGACCTCCTGCCCACTGCGAAGGATGCGGAAAGCAAGCGGGTGTTTAGGGCCCAGGCCTGGCACCACCTCACAGCCACGCAGGACGATGGCATTCATGTGCGTCCGCAAGTCGGAGCGGTCCTTGTGGAAATAGAGCGTGTTGCCTTTCAAGCAACACCAACGCTCCTTCCAGCACTGGTTAACCAGGACATTCAGGTAACCTGCAGGGAGAGCCGGTTCCCAAAGGGAAGAGAGTCTCGGTTCATTAGGTTCAGCTGATATGCACTAACAAGCATGATGCTAAAGGAAAGGTGGAAAGCGAGAGCCAATAGGGGCTGGGCGGGAGGCTCCAAAAGGTTGTCTTGTCTCGCTCTACTTCAGTCAGTGGGTCTGTCTATACTAGACACCCACGGCTGGCCTGTGCCAACTGACTCAGATTCGTAGGGTTCGGGTTAAGGGGCTGTTTAATTGCAGTGTAGACATTTGGCCTCAGGCTGCAGCTGGGACCCTCTCACCTCACAGGGTCCTAGAGCTGGGGCTCCAGCCCAAGCCTGGACATGTAGACCACAGTTAAACAGCCCTGCAACCCAAGCCCCACGAGCCCGAGTCAGCTGGCACAGGCCAGCCGCGGGTATCTAACTGCAGTGTAGATATACCCAGAGTCTGAAATGCTGCTCTGCGGTATCCTACCAAGATATGTCCAGGCCTGTCAGGGAATCACTGCCTATCTCCCTACCTCTGGGTAGGCCTTGTTCCCCCACATTGTTCTGGCAGTGGAAGCACCCCACAAAGCACTGCACAGGGGCAGGACCCTCTCTCTGGACACCAGCAGATCTGCCCCTTTGAACTGCAGAACTCAAAATCAAAGGCCCAAGTGCAGCTTGGTCTTTAGTAAGTTCATACTCTGCAAAATCTCTGCTGAAGTCAACGGGACGTTTGCCCAAGTAAGGATATTAGGATTTGTCCACAGAAACTGTAGATGCAGAAGCCTTATGAGGTTACCATGCTCATCCCCTCTGTTTTGGGGGCAGGATTCATGAGGTAAATGGTCCAGTGGTTAGGGCACTAGCCTGGGACTAAAGAGACCTGTTGTCCGTTTCCAGCTCCACCACAGACCGCCTGTGTGACTGATCACTTGGTCTCTGTGCCTCAGTTCCCCATGGGATAAGAGCACTTCCCTATCTCCCAGGGGTGTAGCAAGGATAGCTACATCCAAGATTGTGATGCACTCGGGTGTTATGGGAATGGGGGCCAGTATGAGTCTCTCAGACAGACATATGGGGCTTCATTGATGTTCTTTAGCAGCATCATATCTCAGAGGGCATTTTGAGCAACTTACTAACTCAGAGTGTCATAGGGCTGGAAGGGACCTTGGAAAGTCATGACGTCCAGTCCCCTGCAAGAGGCACGACCACGTAAACCTTGATCATCCCTGACAGGGGTGTGGGTGTGGCCCATCTGTTCTTGAAAGCCTCCAATGACAGGGATTCCACAACCTCCCCTGGAAGTCTATTCCAGAGCTTAGCTACCTTTATAGTTAGAAAGTTTTTCCTAATATGTAACCTAAATAGCCCTTGCTGCAGAGAAGACAATTACTTCTTGTCCTACCTTCAGTGGATATGAGGAGCAACTGATTATCACCCTGTTTATAACAGCTGTTAACATATTTGGAGACTTATTAGGTCCCTCCTTAGTCCTCTTTTCTCAAGACTAAACATGCTAGTATTTTTAATCTTTCCTCATAGGTCAGGTTTTCTAAATCTTTTATCATTTTTGTTATTCTCCTCTGGACTTTCTCCACTCTTAATAAACCCCAGAATAATTATAGCCTTTTTTGCAACTGCATTATATTGTCGACTCATTCAATTTGTGGTCCACTACAACCCCCAGATCTGCAGTACTACCATCTAGCCAGTTATTTCCCCTTTTGTAGTGGTGCGTTGCACTTGTATTTATTCAATTTCATCTTGTTGATTTCAGACCAATTCTTCAATTTGTCAAGGTTCTTTTGAATTCTAATCCTGGCCTCCAAAGTGCTTGCAACCCCACCCAGCTTGGTGTTATCTACACATTTTATAAGCATACTCCCCACTCCATTATCCATGTCATTAGTGAAAATATTGACTAGTACTAAACCCAGGACTGAGCCCCGTGGAACCCCACTAGATACACCCTCCCAAATTTGACAGCAGGCCATTGAGAACTACTCAAAGTGACTGACTATTGTCTTTCAGCCAGTTGTGCTCCCACCTTATAGAAATTTCAGTTAGACCACATTTCCCTAGTTTGCTTATTAGAATGTCATGTGGACTGTGTCAAAAGCCTAACTCAGTCAAGACATATCACATCTACTGCTTCTCCCCATACACTAAGCCAGTAACCCTGTCAAAGGAGGAAGTGAAGTTAGGGTGACCAGACGTCCCGATTTTATCGGGACTGGCCTGATTTTTGCTTCTTTGTCCCGCGTCCTGACCGATGTTTGGTCGGGACACTGGACAAAAAAGAAATGTTGCGCTCCGCCCCGGCTCTGCCCCCCCTTCCCTGGCTCCGCCCCCCCCTCCCCCATTGGCTCCCTCCCCAAATCCCCGCCCTGGCCCCGCCTCTTCCCCAACGCCTCTTCCCCAACCACGCAGCATTCCTCCTCCCTCCCAGGCTTGCAGCATGGCGGCGCAAGCCTGGGAGGGAGGGGGTGGCGGTGGTGCCTGGATCCTGGAGCTGGTGAGTCAGCTCCGGCACCCGGGCACCTGGCGGGCAAAGGGGGGCTGGCAAGGGAGGGAGACGGGGAACTCAGCTTTGAGCCCCCTGCCGCGACAGAGGGCTCCTGCCCGGGCCGCTGCACCCGGGGCCGGGAGCGCAGCCTGGAGGCTGCTCCAGCCCTGCAGCCCGCAGGGTAGCGTGGTGGGTCCAGGCGGGGGCAGCGTGGAGCAGGCAGGGGCCTGCGTGGGCCGAATCCCTGCTGCTGCCAGGGAGCCCTGTGCCTCTCCCTCCCGCTCGCGGCTGCGGCTCCTTCACGGCAGGACGCGCCCCCCGGCCTGCCCCGGCCACAGCCGCGAGCGGGCGGGAGAGGCGCGGGGCTCCCTGACAGCAGCGGGGATTCGGCCCCTGCTGCCCACCTGGCTCCTGTCCGCTTTGCACTGCCCCCGCCCGGATCCACCGCGTGCCGCATATGCCCGTGGCGGGCCGGGGGGCGGGAGGCTCCGCGGGGAGGGCAGCGTGCGGGGCCGGGGCCTGCTAATGTCCCCGGCCCCTTTTAAACGCCTTTTTTTTTTTTTTTGCTCCCCCCCCGTCCCGATATTTTGGACTGCTGATCTGGTCACCCTAAGTGAAGTTGATTTGGCATGATTTGTTGACAAATCCATGCTGGCTGTTCCTTAGAACTCTCCTCTCCTCTAGGTGTTTACAAATGGATTGTTTAATAACTTGTTCCAATTGTTTATGTAACTTGCAGGCTTTAGCTCTACCGCTCTAGCTTAGAAGAGAGAAAACCAAATCACCCTGTTCACATGGCACTTAACACAGAGAGCACCTGACAGCTGTGTGGTCCCCAGCGCCTCCCCAGATGTGTACCCGGAGTGCTCTGCCCTGGGTGAAATAGCCTGGTCCTACAATCACGGACTGGGGACACTGAGCTAGAAAAGGAGAGAGAGAGAGAGAGAGAGAGAGAGAGAGAGAGCGCGCGTGTGTGTGTGTGTGTGTGTGTGATGGAGGAGGTCAATCCCAGGCTACATGCTTGTAGCAGGAAATCCCTTTCCATGTCATGGCAGAGTCCCTGATGCTGTTGCGGGGCTAGTGAGCAATGGGTGGAATTCAGAGGAAACACTGAAATTCCCTGTGTCTTGGATAGTGTCCCCATCCCCCTTCTGGGTGGTCCGTCTGATGGGCAAGAGAAAGGCATTGTGGCACAACTTACACCTGGCACCAAGTCCCCTAGAAACAACGTCCGCCTAGATCCAGAAAACCCCCTTCTTGCTCCCATCTCCCCAGAGCCCTAGGTACGAACCACAGCAGGGGATGTCCTCCTCGGTGGAGGACGTCTGGGTGTCCTCAGGGGATGGCTTCTTTTTGGAGAAGCTGATGATCCTGGTGATTTTCCTCCCGGCTGCCCGGCTCACCGAGCCCTTCAGTTCAGCCAAGCCGCTCTTCTTGCCTTTTCCTGGGAACAGGGAGGAGAGCTTAGCTCAGGAGTAAATGGCAACCCCCCCCCAGAGGCTGGCCAAAGCGGAGAGGTCACTATGGTGCCATCTCTCAGGCTGGGATTTGCAATGAGAGCAGGAAGGGGTTTCGGGTGTCAGACAGTGGCAGGGAGAGGAGGGAAGAGGGAGAAGAGATACACTGACGGGGCAAGAGCAGGATATCCCCACCCCCAGCAACTGTTGCACTTCAGAGAACTGGTGCATGGAGCCAGGGGCAGATTCAGGCAGAGGCTGCAAATATTCCTCTGTGGCAGGGGCCTCAGCAACTCCATCACATGCAGCAGGGCCGCATGGCAGTGAGGGGAAGCTGTGCCAGAAGGCATGGGTGCCCCCTTCCCACCTCCCGGCAGCAGGCGGCTTATTGAGACAGCTGCAGAGAGGTGATGAGGATGCTTTCTGCAGTGGGATGGACCCTCCCCCCACCCCTCCCCACAGCAATGCCAGCCCATGGGCCCACAATGGTCAGAGTGGGGCTGGGGCTCTCACCGCGCTCCCTTCGGCTCATGGGGGTGCAGTTCTCCCCTGCTGCCATGCTGTCCGAGTCAGACGTCTGTTTGTCTTGCGATAACCTCTGCGGGGAGGAGGGCAGGCATCCATTTCAGTGCAGTTCCTCTCTCCATCCCTTCCTCCCCCCCATGGCTTTTAACCACGTCAATGCCGCACTGAGTGACCATCCCTGACCGGAGTTCTGCGAGTCTGGCAAAGCTCAGTGTCCAGTCTAGCTCCTGATAGCCCCACCCTAGGCAGGGGGACAGGAAAGGGCATATGCCCCACCCCCCTAGAGGAACCCCCATCTTCATTCCAGGGCTGGCTGGGGAGATGGTCTTGGCTCTTTGTTGCCCATTGGAGGGGGTCCCCTTCTGCTATCGTAGGGGGTGCCACAGATGGGCCATGCAAACACTGAGAGCAAGGCTGATCTTGTAGAACCCAGCCTTCAGCTGCCTGATTCCGGAGAGTTTAGTCACGGTTCCCTTCTGTTGTGTATCACTAACCCCCAGCCACCCACACTGGCAGGGGAGAGACACCTTGTCAAGGTCCATCTTGCAATGCAGCACGGGCGATGTAGGGTCTTCAGTCCCACCTGTTCCTCCTCCACTGGCACTGCTCCCTTCCTTTATCACCTGTGGAGACAGACCACTCAGCACCGGCCTCTCAGGACCCATTGGGAGCGACTGAGCCCCCAGTCATTACCCCAGTAACAGAGGAGCTCTGACCACACTGCTTGACCTGACCACAGCAAACAGCATTTTGCCATAGCTATTTATGAACTATCCCTTCCTGGAATGATCCAGTTCCCTGCTGCCTTCCAGAGGGGACAAAGCAGCATGTTGCGCCCTGAAAAGCTCCCTTTGGAGCAGGGTCTTCTTAAAACTCCCTCCACAAAGTCCTGTTTGAAATAATAAATAGTTTGGTTGGGGGACATTTAACGAGGACTCAGACTACAGTCACAAAGGCCCCTTAGGTTCCAGCTAGCTGATCTGGGAAGCTTTGTCAATCTCCTACAGGGGTTCTGCCCAAGATACCTATACAACCCCATCACCATAGATAGCATCTGAGCAGCACAATCTTTTATGTACTGATCCCCAGGAAGGCTGTAGCAGAGCAGGGAATTGAGCCTGCGTCTCCTGAGTCCCAGACTAGGGCCTTGACCATCCTTCCTGTGAGGTTGTGGTGAGCCTAGGCTCTCTGGGGAGATGCCTGTCAGGATGGACACGGCATGAGGACAACCCACCCTGCACTACTTCAGCCTTCCTGCATCCCATCCCTGCCAGCCAGCAAAAGGAGAGGGGTGTCGAAAAGCTGCTACAATCATAATGTGGGTGACCAGAACTTCTTGCTAATCTCCACACAGGTTCAGCCCGGGAGAAGTTCTCCCATCCCTCCTCCTCCCTGACATGGCCCTTGACCAAGGCACATGCAGTAGCTAGGCTGGGTAGGGAGGATCTGACAGCACCAGGAGCCCTGGAGTGCAGTGTAATGGGGCAGCGTTGGCGTCCCAATCTTTCAGCAGTGAAATGCCCCACATCAGCAGATTTGAGGTGGGCAGGGGCTCATGCTCCCCAGGGGCGAGGTGGTGCTATTTAAATGCGCTCCTGTTTCAGGCCTTTACATGCTGCCAGCTCAGACGCAGATCCGGTGACTTCACCAAACAGCTTCCAAGCTACACAGCCTCCCACTGGCAGACAAAGGCAGGAAAAAGGAGTGGGAGGGTAAACAAACAGCTCCCCTGTCCCTTTGCCTATGGGACTCCAGCCTATCACACAGGGAGCGGAAAGGGGCCGGGGCTCCCTGGGCCTGGTAGCTTGCCCCACAGCTGGTGTCCCAGTCTGGCAGCAATGATAAAAGATGGGTGGAAAATCTCCTTCCCTTCAGAGATAAGGCAGCACTGGACGCTAGGCCTTTCCCATGAAGGCAGCTAACCTGCCTAGCCATTACGTCAGACAGGGATCACAGGAGCTGGGCCATGTACTGAGACGGCACCAGAACAAGGAGGAGGTTCCACCAGAAGGACAAAGGCTGGTCACATGGGGAAAGGAAGCCGGTGTGGCCAGTGGCGTGGGCTAGGGAGAAAGGCATAAGCTGCAGTAAGCGGTACCTTCAGCCACTCCTCAGCCTGCTCTTTGCTCTGCACTGCCAGCACCAGAGCCTCAGCCCCTGGCAGAGAGAAGCGCAGCTCATGCTTCTTGCGGCGCCCGTCCTTGGACACATAGTTGACGCTGCAGGCGCTCAGGGGCACCTCCAGGTGTGGCTGCCGGTCCTTGGAGCTTTTGTAGCACTAAAAGAAGTAGAGACAACCGTTTCCCCCAGAGTCGAGGCCTGCCTGCATCTCCTGCCAGGCTGCGGAGAACGAGCGTGCTAGCACAAAGGGGGAGTATCCCTGCTGAAGCTCTGTCTGCCCTTACACGGGGCTTCATCTAGCGACCTCGTAGCAATTCACAGAGGTGGTGCAGTATCATTAGCCTCATTTTACAGAGGAGGAAGCTACAGGGAAGTGACTCAGCCAAAGTCACAGAAGGGGCCAGGACCAGAACCCAGGAGTCCCTGCTCGCACCACTGGACAACACTCCCTTCCCAGAACCAGGAACAGAACCTGGATAGTCCTGTACCCTACTCTCTGGGCCACAATGTCTCCAAGGTAACTGACCTGCATGATGACTTTGCATTAATTTTTCCAGTGATAAATATATAGGATGAACCCTGATGGCTTCTGGGTAGAGACCTGGACTGTGGGCCTCGTGGTATAAGTGCTTCCGAGGTGCTGTTATTCTGCACAGCAGGTATGGATTAGATATGCAACATTGCCATGAAAGGCAGTCTCAGCCCTGCTCACACCCCCATGGAAGACACAGCCTTTCATTTACTCAAACAAGTCACTGAACATGCATGGTTAGTCCACTTGTAAGCAGGGATTGGCATAGCTGCTGCATGTCCTTTGGTGCACTTGGCTCACTTGCACCCTATACACAGGAGGCTCCCCGTTTCTCCAGCCTAGGATCTCTCAGACTCCAGATCTCCGCAAAGATTTCCTGTATCCTGGGACCCCCTGCACTCCCCAGCACTCGGAAAGCTAAAGTCTCACCAGGAGTTTGTTGTCCTTGATGACTGTCAGCTGCTTGGCCCACTGCCCAAAGCGCTTCTTACGCAACAGGAAGGCACAAATCCTGCAGTCCTTCACCAGGTTCATAGAAGCTTCCTCTGACGGCCATTGGTGTGTCAGCCGCTGGCCCTTCCCATCCTCCTCCTCTTCATCGTATGACTCATAGGAGCTGCTCATCGCATCAGAGTCATTGTCTGGAAGGAAGCAGAGACCCTCCCAGTCACCTCAGGATGCTACTGACAACGGAGCTCCAATGCCCTGCACATGGAGTGGGACTTCAGCCTGGAGGATCACCTTCTCCTAGCAGTGTCTTGGGAAAGAAAGCCTTTGTGTGTGTGGGGCAGGGGGGAGGGAAATCAAACTCTGGAACAGCAACAGGTCAACACTAACAATTTTCATTTTCCTCCAGCTCTTTTCCAAGTTGCATTGGCATTTCCCTTTATGAACTATGCAAAGCATGGAGGGCTCTAAGTGACCTCTTACGTGTGACAAACCTTCTCTTTAGATGGAGAGACGCTCTTGGAGAAGTCACTGGCTAGGACATGCAAGAGGCCTGACTGTTTGCTGAGCAGCCTGTGTAAGATCAGCGTACATGTCTGAATTGCTCAGGGACTACTGACCTCCAAGGGATACTCCAGGATGCAGCTCTTTGCCCAGGCAGCTGAAGCTTTTCTCAGGCTGCTGTCTTTGTTTTCATTGCACGGTTACTTTAACTAAAGTCAAGGGCTCCCAGAGCAGCAGGTGGGTGCCTCTTATACTGGGTTATAAACTGCCAGAAATAAATAGACCCTGGCTCTCTTCCTCACTCTCCTTGCAACACCTAGAGCAATTCCTGCCTTGAAGGCCACAGAACTACCATTGATGGTTACCATAGGGCTGTGGTCCATGCAGACTCCTAGGTACCCTTTGGCTCTGTGTAGGATTCCCCACCCAACCCCCATCCATCAGGCTGATGGCTCATCCCCTTTGGCTCTTCCCCCTGGTTAGGCACCTGTCTTGAAGAGCCTTTGCCCTGGTACCTACAGGAGTTTTTCTGCTCCCCATTCATCCTGGTAACAGGGTAGTTGCTGTCTGCGTCCTCATAGTAGCCATCCTCGATTGAGTTGGGGGGACTGGAGCTATCTGCAGAGAGAGCAAAGGGTGTGAAATTTGTGATAAAGGAGACCCCTGCACAGGGACTGGGATATTAACAGGGCACGTGCGTGGCACAGACACTGGTGACAGGGCCCATCAGAAGGCTGCGCTGAAGCAAGTCATGCCACAGCTTGGAGCTCTCACAGCTGCCAACACCAGCTCCAGCTCAGCAGCAAGGCCACGTGTAACGATTAGACATGGGTGCACTTATAGCTGGATGGAAGCACAAAGTGGTGGGAGAAGGGGAAGGACTTTGTCCACAGGCTAATCTGAAAAGGCCTCATTAGCAGAAAACCTCCCTTCCCTCCTCTGCCAGCTCCCCAGGAGCCACCGGACAGCCCCGCCCACAGGAGGAAGGAGACCGGCTGCCAAGTGACATGATTTGGGAAAAGCACCCTGCTCCTTTCCTGACATTCCTCCAAGGTCACAGCCACTCCCGGAGAGGCTCAGCACACACTCCCCCTTCATATACAGGGCCTGGGAGCACTCCCACTTCCTCCCCCTCCCCTCAGGCTGCCCTTCACACAGGCATTGAGCTCAGCAGCTGGGAGAGGAGGGAGCATTTGAGGGGCTGAATCCTACACCAGAGAGAAACACAAAGCAAAACCTCCCACTTTGGGGAAATCTCTTCCTTCCCTTGGGGGGGGGTCTTGGAGCCCCTGCCCAAGCGTGCTCAGGGCAGCTGCCCCACATCAAGCCCAGTAATGTCACTCCCAAAGGGGCTGGCAGGTGTTGCTACTGGGTGAAAGATCCCCTTCACTCTCTCTGCACACAGCAGGAGCCAGGACTGGGGCTTTGTTCATTCCAAAGGCCTCAGAGACCAGGACTTGAAACAGATCAAATCCAGCTCCCAGTGAACCTGCTGCCCCTTAGCCCCCCTTCTCCCTGTCCTAAGCCATTAGGCCAGTTGTGGGAGAGATTGTCTTGCATCAGGATCTCAACATTCCTGGTCACTGAGCCTGACTGAGGCGTTTTGGGAAGGCACCAGGGACAGGAGTGCCACTGCCCCCACCCCAGGTCATTGCTTTCCCCAAGACAAGCCAGTGAGGGTCAGCCCCCTGTGGGATGCTGGCAAGGGCTCCTGGTTTTGATGGGCTCCGCAGCTCCCATGCCAGCCTCTGTTTAGACATGCCCGGGGCCAGTCTGCTGGGTGTTCTCCAGTCCCCTCCCCACAGGTGCTTCCAGTTTACTAGGGTCAGACTCACTGCGTGAGGTGATGTATTCAGGGGCCTTGCCTGGGCCCAGAGGCAGGGCCTCCTCGTAGTAATCTTCAGGTGGGGGGGTTGTGGGAAGTGGTGGAGGAGGGTCTCTGGGAGCCTACAAAGGAGAGAGAGAGACCAGTGTGAATTAGAGTGAAGGAGCGGGATGGGGCTGAGTTACAGGGTGTCCAAGGGGCCATCAACAAGAGCTGTTCCCATAACGGCAAGAGAAGGGTAACAAGTCTCCTCCCCAGCCTCCTGGATCTGTGTGTGCCTCTCCCCATCCAAGAGGTTATCAAACCCAGAGCCCAGACCCTCCCCTTTCGCTGTCTGCTTCCACCCCCTCAGAGCAGACAGGGACTGTGGCTTGAGAAGCCCCAGCCCAGCCATAGTCATGTTCCAACCCAAATGCTTCCAATTCTTGTCCTTTCACTACCATGTGACTGTGACAGGGCCCCAAGAACCTGCGGGGATGGAGATTTTGAGGTGGCTGGACTCACATTTTTAGATGGATGGCTCCTTGTGAGCTCCAAGCCAATGCCCTCGCTGGTGTCCCCATCATCCTCCTGCATATCCTGGAGATCCCGCAGATCACAGTCTGGAGGGGGGTTAGAGAAAAGAGATGCTAAGCCAAGCAATGATGCCGGGGACAGGGCTCCCCAAACAGACCTTCAGGGAAGGTCTCTCTTTCTCAGTGCCACACACACTGACCACCCCCAGCCCACACCAGAATTAGCCTGTTGTCACAAGAACGTCATTCATAGTCCATAACCAACAAGGAGTCCTTGTGGCACCTTAGAGACTAACAAATTTATTTGGGCATAAGCTTTTGTGGGCTTCACACCACATCTTCCCAAGCGGAACAAGCTTTGGCGTTTCTATAGGCACATTCGTATTTGGGTGCCTCAAAGTGAGCTAGATATTGAGGGGGAGGGGGTGAAGGAACTGCATAGACCAGTGTGACAGCAATGGGGTCACACCCCGCTTCGGGAAGTGGATCTGGTTTTATTGGTGCGGTGAATGTTCCCACTACACCAAGGTTATATCCTGCTCTTTCCATCCCTGCCCTGGGAGCAGTCACCTGGGTAGCCAACAAAGAGGGACTAGAGCCCTTGAGTAATGGGTCATCCAAAGGATGGGGCTTCACTCCCACTGCTGAGGGAGTCGGCCCTCTGCCTGGGGTTGCGGGAGTTGAGCTCTGAGCCTTGTAGGCTGGAGCAATAGCTAGAGAGTCAGCAGTTCAGCTGCATGGCCAGCAAGGTGTGGAGGGATCTCCAGACTGGTGATGAGCTGGTTGAGCTGTACGTACCAAACTCTTCAAAGAGGGACTCCACGAAGCTGGTGCTGTTCTGCAGGGCTGCAGTGTTCACGTACATGTAGTCCAGAGGCTTCCCTGAGAAGGAGAAAGGACATTACCACTGCTGGGGAGGAGCAAAGTCAACTTCTGACTGCATGGGCAGGGCAGGATGGCATGGCCAGCCCAGGGAACTCTTAGAATCATAGAAGATTAGGGTTGGAGGAGACCTCAGGAGGTCATCTAGTCCAACCCCCTGTTCAAAGCAGGAGCAACACCAACTAAATCATCCCAGCCAGGGCTTTGTCAAGCCAGGCCTTAAAAACCCTCTACGGATGGAGATTCCACCACCTCCCTAGGTAACCCATTCCAGTGCTTTACCACCCTCCTAGTGAAAAAGTGTTTCCTAATATCCAACCTAGACCTCCCACACTACAATTCGAGACCATTGCTCCTTGTTCTGTCATCTGCCACCGCTGAGAACAGCCGAGCTTCATCCTCTTTGGAACGCCCTCCCCCCTCGCTTCAGGTAGCTGAAGGCTGCTATCAAATCCCCCCCACTCTTCTCTTCTGCAGACTAAATAAACCCAGTTCCCTCAGCCTCTCCTCGCAAGTCACGTGTCACAGCCCCCTGATGATTTTTGTTGCCCTCCGCTGGACTCTAATTTGTCCACATCCTTTCTGTAGTGGGGGGCCCAAAACTGGACGCAATACTCCAGATGTGGCCTCACCAGTGCCAAATAGAGGGAAATTATCGCTTCCCTCAATCTGCTGGCAATGCTCCCAATATGCCGTTAGCCTTCTTGACAAGAAAGCTACACTGCTGACTCATATCCAGCTTCTCATCCACTGTAATCCCCGGATCCTTTTTTGCAGAACTGCTGCTTAGCCAGTCGGTCCCCAGCCTGTAGCAGTGCATGGGATTCTTCCATCCTAAGTGCAGAACTCTGCACTTGTCCTTGTTGAACCTCAGATTTCTTTTGGCCCAATCCTCCAATTTGTCTAGGTCACTCTGGACCCTATCCCTACCCTCCAGCATATCTACCTCTCCCCCCAGTTTCTTGCAGCAAACTTGCTGAGGGTGCAATCCATCCCATCATCCACATCAATAAAGATGTTGAACAAAACCGGCCCCAGGACTGACCCCTGGGGCACTCCGCTTGATACCGGCTGCCAACTAGACATCGAGCCGTTGATCACTACCCGTTGAGCCTGACAATCTAGCCAGCTTTCTATCCACCTAGTCCATTCATCCAATCCATACTTCTTTAACTTGCTGTCAGGAATACCGTGGGATACCGTATCAAAAGCTTTGCTAAAGTCAAGATATACAACTCTGTCGGACCCCACTCAAATGGGCACACACCCAGCTCCCCAGGAGTAGTAACCCAAGAGACCACTGCAGCCAGCCCAGCTAATCAGACCACGCATGCGCATCTGCAGCACCCCTCACAAGGACACCTGGTTCCCAAGGGCAGCAGCCCGAGGGAGGGGAGAGCAGCAGGGAGGAGGCTGGCAAAGAAGTTGGAGTGCACAGAACGACACAGAGCAAGGATAAGGAAGCAGAGGGGGGAAATCTACAACTCTCCATCCCATGGAGGGTCATTTCAGAGGGTCCCACGGGGATATTTTCACTCTGCGGAGTGCCATGGGGAGGAGGCGGCCCTCCAGGTGTGAAGCCTATCCCCTCTCAGCAGAAACTGCCAGCAGGAAGGCCAGTGGGAATGAGTGTTTCCACAGGAAATGCAGAGCAATTCCAGCCCAGTCACAACAATTCCCTTCCCTGGGCTGGGCCTGTTTGCACAGGAGCTGCCGGTGTCAGTGCGCAGGAGTGTGCCAGTCGGCCTGATGTACACATGCTGTGTAACTCTGACGTCCGACAGCTGGAGAAAGGGGAAAAGAGGTCTCATGGGGGTCCTGCTGCAGCAGGGATCTGCCAGGGTTTGCCAAGGAGCAGTGCCAAAGGACGATACGAGCAAGCGCTTCAGCAGAGGATACGGAGACACGTTGCACTGAAACCAGAGAACTTTCCATCCCAGAGCGCCTGCAGCTCCCATTGCACGGCAGGTGAAACAGTAATAAATACAGAGAATTCGTCGGTATCCAGAAGGCTTGAATAAATCAAAAGGGTAGAGCAGTGGGATCTTGCCAGCTATTGTTTAATGCCGGTATCTCTGCTACTCAAGGTCAACTGGAGGACTTTCTTTGCACGAAAAAGCCACCAGAGGGAGTCATGCACCTCATCAATAAAGGGGTCGGATATGCAGCCAAGCAATAAATGATTCTCTAGAGAGATCCAAGGGCTGGGTGCTCCTCCTTCCTGGCTGAATGCTCTGCCTCATGAGCTAGAGGAGAGCCAGTGCCAGTTCATTCATGCCTCATCTCAGTTTTCTGTATCCCCATTTTATATTCACTGCACTGGATGAAGGAAAAGGCAGTTTCTATGGCTGCCCATGACGGTTACTCCAAATTCCCTGGCTGCTGCAGAAGAGTCCAGTCCTGACGCCGGAACTACAATCTCTCTCTGCCCACAGCCAGGAGACTGCACTGTCTGTTTGCCATGGAGAGTCCTTGGCTGAGACAAGCTCTTCTCCTCCCCAGCTCCACGGACAGATCTGCGAATCCCCCAGGAGACAGACAGCTCCCAGGCCCTCACTCCTGCAGCCTACGGGAAGGCTTTACCCCAGAGCACCAAGAGGGGTTCTGACATCCAGTCTAATTTAGAACCAGGCTTCTCCACCCAGGGCATCCTCCCAAACTTAATGCTGTAAAAGCAAGCGTGCTGCACAGACCAGATCTGTGCTGGGGCTGTGCAGACTGGAGGCATGACACTGCCCCCTGCCCCTAGGCGGGGGCAGAGCCTCCTTTGCAAAGCCAGTTAAACCTCAGGGCAGTCCTGGAGAGAAGTGGGGGGAGAAGAAGCGGAGCGAGGCAGTGTACAGTAGGGGCCAGGAGAGCTTACTGACCTGCAGGGGGCTGCAGCTTTTGCAGGATAGTGGAGACGGCCAGTTTCTTCTCCATGGTGGTAGCGCTCAGGTACTCATGATCCAGCAACTTGAGCAGCAAGCTGAGCTCCGGGAGGAGCTGGTCCAGCACTGGGGAAAGCAGCAGAGAGAACAGGAGTCAGGGAGCCAGTTGGGGGAGGAGAGAACAAAACGATCCAGGCTGAGGGGTTTGGGCTACTACAAAGGCTGGAGGGGAACTAGGAAAAAGCAGCCTGGGGGCAGGGATTGTTTGTGTTCCGAGTTTGTACAGTGCCTTGCACCATGGGGCCCTGGTCCAGGATTGGGGCTCCTAGGTGCTCCGGCAATACAAATAATAAACACACACCACCACCTACTGAGTGTTTGGACAGAGATACAGCAGAGCCTACGAGGGAGCTGGAGAAACAATAACTCCATTTCCAGCTGATCCTGCAGGAGGGCACCCACCTCTGTCAGGTCATCTGATCATCACCTGCAGGCAGGGGACCCTGCTCACTGCTTTTGGATACCCTCTATAAAAACCCCTCTCTTGGGGGTCAGTCACATACTGGTTTGGAGCCAGCATCCATTTTTCAGACCCCTCCCCTTTGGGATCAAAGGGGACATCAGATAAAATAGTCTCAGAAACTAAACGCACTCAACCCAGAACTAAAACACATTGTGCATTTACAAGCAGAGGCAACTGCAGGCAAAGAGTGAAGGGGAAGATGGGCGAGCAGAGACTCTAAGGGTACATCTACACTGCCCATGTCACAGCGTGGCCACGGCAGCATTGTGACGTGGGCAGCACAGTCACGCTTTATCGCCGGGGGAGAGCTCTCCCAGCGATAAAATAACCACCCCGAATGAGCGGTGGTAGCTTTATTGCCAGCAGTGCAGCTCCCAGCGATAAGGCGTTGTTTATACTGGCGCTTTTCAGCGCTAAAACTTTTGTCGCTCAGGGGATTGTTTTTTCACACCCCTGAACGACTAAAGTTTTAGCGCTGAAAGTGGCAGTGTAGACACAGCCCAAGCCTTGAGACTGAGCAGGTCTTAACCTGACACCCGGCTGCCAATAAAGATAGTGTCCTTGACATTATTTCCCCCTATTCCTTGACCCGATCCTCAATTCCTATCATGGTTTTTTAAATAACCCCCCTCCTTGCAAGGTTGGGAATTACGTTCCTTATATTTTTTTCTCTGCTCTGTCAGACACGGACACAGCACTGTTATTGTAAGGTAGCTCTTGGGTGCTGGCAGCCATTTTCAGAGGAAGAGCAGGAGAACGTATGTTTTGGAAGGAAAACAGAGCTTCCCGAGGACTTTGCAGGCCTAGCGTTCTGCACCTCCCCACTTTGGTGCAGAGAGGGGCTGCTTCAAAGAGTTCCACATGATTGGTGTTGTTTTAAACTGGTTTAGGAGCCCCTTTTGCTTTGTGGCTTCTGCTTCAACAAGGCCGGCTGGCCAGAGACCCCCCTCAAGCCACCTCTGGGCTCCTGCAGCTTTTCACACCCCTGCGTGGAATGCAGCAAAGGCCAGTTGGTATCTTCAGAGGTGCTAAAAATCAAGCTGCTGCTACAGAGCAGGGAGGGAGAGAGAGAGAGATAAGAGGGGCTGAAGGGCGAGGTTGACATTGTGCAGAGCACCCTTTGTCATCTGGAGAGTGGCTGCTCTCCTGTCCAGACACCTCTTGGACAGTGTTCACTATGCAAACACACACATACAGACTCTGACCTTGTGTCACAGGCAGGAGACAGCTGGCCACCTGCTGAGCTCACTGGAGAACACTGGCCTATCAGATCATAAGAACATAACCTAAGAATGGCCGTACTGAGTCAGACCAAAGGTCCATCTAGCCTAGTATCCTATCTACCGACAGCGGCCAATGTCAGGTGCCCCAGAGGGAGTGAACCCAACAGGCAATGATCAAGTGATCTCTCTCCTGCCATCCATCTCCACCGTCTGACAAACAGAGGCTCGGGACACCCTTCCATACCCATCCTGGCTAATATCCATTAACAGACTTAACCTCCATGAATTTATCCAGTTCTCTTTTAAACACTGTAATAGTCCTAGCCTTCACAACCTCCTCAGGCAAGGAGTTCCACAAGTTGACTGTGCGCTGTGTGAAGAAGAACTTCCTTTTATTTGTTTTAAATCTGCTGCCCATTAATTTCATTCGGTGGCCCCTAGTTCTTGTATTATGGGAACAAGTAAATAACTTATTTACTTTCTCTACCTCACTCATGATTTTATATACCTCTATCATATCCCCCCTTAGTCTCCTCTTTTCCAAGCTGAAAAGCCCTAGCCTCTTTAATCTCTCCTCATATGGGACTCGTTCCAAACCCCTAATCATTTTAGTTGCCCTTCTCTGAACCTTTTCTAATGCCAGTATATCTTTTTTGAGATGAGGAGACCACATCTGTACACAGTATTCAAGATGTGGGCGTACCATGGATTTATAGAAGGGCAATAAGATACTCTCCGTCTTATTTTCTATCCCCTTTTTAATGATTCCTAACATCCTGTTTGCTTTTTTAACCACCGCTGCCCTTGCGTGGACATCTTCAGAGAACTATCCACGATGAAGCCAAGATCTTTTTCCTGATTCGTTGTAGCTAAATTAGCCCCCATCATATTGTATGTATAGTTGGGGTTATTTCTTCCAATGTGCATTACTTTACATTTATCCACATGAAATTTCATTTGCCATTTTGTTGCCCAATCACTTAGTTTTGTGAGATCTTTCTGAAGTTCTTCACAGTCTGCTTTGGTCTTAACTATCTTGAGCAGTTTTCATTATCACTATTCAAATAGCTCAGCAGGGCATTCCTCAACTTCTATCACCCCTATGACCATAGAGCCTAATGGTCCCAGCCAGAGTGGGGCCCCATTGTGTCACCTACTGTACAGACAACCCCTGCCCCAAAGGGCTCACAGTATTATTGAAAACCTACAGGAGGCCCCCAGGAGAGCTAACAACGCAGCATAGACTCAAGTGCCAGCAGCACACAGAAGACACTCAGCTCTATAGTCTTTGTGTCAAATGGGAACTGCACCATCGCCTAGTTTTCTCCATGCCTGGCCAAAGTCAGCAGCTGGGTGAAGTGGATCCTAGGCAATATTGGGTGGGGTGGTGGGGGAATACTAGCTAGATCAAAACAATCCGAAACTGCTCCATAGAACTTGCCTCCACTCTAGGTTTGTCTTGGCTGGATTTAAAGGCGACGCTGTTAGAAGGTGTTAGTAACATGGTCTAGTGGAGACAGGCAACATGTTAGAAGTCTACACTGCCCTGTTTCCATCACACGTTTAGGTATGTCTGCACAGCACATGAAGGCGCGACTAGCGCGGACAGGTATACCCTTCAACCTAGCTAGCACCGATAGCAATAGCAGGGAAGATGCGGCAGCACGGACTTCAGCACAGGATAGCAAGTACAAGCTTGCTAGGGACCTGAGAAGAATACTCAGGTTGTGAGCCCACGCTGAAGCCTGTGCCACCACATCTATACTACTCCTGTTGGTTGTACTAGCTAGATGCCCACGCTGGTGTCAATGCCTACCTGTGCTATAATCACACCTTCACTGGTGGTGTAGACGTACCCATCAAATGTGTGAAAGAGTGCCAGCTAACACTGTACCTTTAAATGTTAGGCATAGCAAGCCTAGAACATCCCCCTCTTTTGAGGGCCTCTGCCCTCAGACTGGTAAGTCACTATACTGCTCAGTGCTACTGGATACCCAAATAACCATGTGGTGAAACGGGCACACTTCTGTCTGCACCTGATGAGAAGATTGCAACCCCTCCTACAAGACACAGGCCTGACTACCTGGATCTATGCAGTCATGACTTCCTAGCCATGAGTTTCAATAATTAAGTGGAACAAAGCACTAGATCCCCAAAGGGATTCCAACTGGAACAAAACATGGCAGCCTGTCCGCTTAGCGATACAGATTGGCATGAACATGCTCCTGGCACTGGCTCCCCATGGAGCACAGAGCCCAGTTCCAGGTCTCTGGTCTGTTATCCAAAGCTCTCCATGGAATTGGCCCAACTACCGAGAGATTGCCTCTCTGCCCATGACCTTAGCCGCCAATGGCAGTAATGTTCCACTGGAACAATGAATCTGTGGACCCTCAGATTAGTCCAGGAGGCAGAGCTGGATTTGGACTATGGAACTCCTGGCCACAAAGTACAAGAATGACCACAGAACTAACCACTTCCACAACCGAATGCAAGACTCATTTCTTCAACTTAGCTTTCCTTCTCTCTCTCTCTCTCTCTCTCTCTCTCCTCCCCTCTCTCCCTCCCCTACAGGCTGGGAAGAAAGAGACATCGTTGTTATTTCTGCTTTGAGGGACTTGGGACCTGCTCAGATAACGTGCTGAGTTATGTGGGGGTGAAGGTGGGGAAAGGGGATACAAGAATCTAGATAGCAAGCAACATTCCAATAAGCAGGTGTACATCACATAGCTGTTAACCCAATTCCTCACTCGAGTTCCCATCTCCGTGCACCCCAAGGCAGACGTTACCCATACCAGCCATATGTACTACAGCGTATACCAGAAAACACACCCTGCAGCTTTCATAGGTCTTCTCCTCCTGCTATGCTGGGCTGCACTACACACTCTCCAAGTATCCCTGATGCTGATCAGACTGGCTTCTCCCTCCCCAGCACGGAGCTACCATCCGTGGTTTTGGCCTGCATAGGAAGTGCAGGTTTAGGCTTGTCAGATTAGGGACATGAGAGCTGTGGTGGATAAGATCCAGACAGGTTGCAAATATCACACACAGCCTGAACCGAGCTGCTGAGAGTTAAAGTTTGCCCCTCTACTTTGTTCCATTATTTTTAATTTTCATGCTGTCCCAGGTCCTAGTGGGACCAAGTGCAGAAGTGCTGCGTGACTGGGTCAGCTTTGCTGTACTTCTGGCCCAAATGGAAGCAACATCTCAATGGAAATCTCACGTGCAAGCCTCACACAAGATCTCCAGCCCAATTTTGCAGACTCAGGGGATTCTGAGGAGGTCTGGAAATGCACCTGAACTTCTGGGGGCTAGCTTAGATCTAAACTAACAGTTTAAGGTTTGCCCACCGCTAATTATGGCACAGCAGAGGCTTTGACACTTTCAAGAAAAGGCAGGTCTTTGAGAGCAGAAGGCAAGTCAGATGCAGAAAACACCAGGGACAGGAAAAACCTGCCGTTAGAGAACA